ACACGCACACACACACACACACCACACACACACACACACACACACACACACACACACACACACGGCGGCCCCACCGCACACCCAGGGTCCCTGCCAGGGCCTTTCCTGTCCAGCCCGCCCTGCAGGAGGCTGAGGAGAGACAGGCTGACCCTGAGCCCAGCATGTGGCCTGGAGTCCTTTGTCTGGCAGGAGTCTAACCGGCACCCCGCGGGGCTTGGGCCATCACCCCGCTCCCCAGCACCCAGAGAGGCCCAGCGGGCACTCACCGTTCATCACTCTCACCAGCCACCCACATCCATCCAAGTCAAAGCCACTCCGCCCGGGGCACCCCCACTTCCCCTCTGGGCGGTCCCTGGCGGGGAGGAGCCCCTCCAGGGGAAGGTGGCCTGGGAGCCTCTGGTGTGACCGTGTGCTGGCTTTATATTTCAGGATTGAGCTGACCTCTGACCTCACTTCCCTGTAGCAAGCTCCTTAGGTCCTGAGCCACAATATTCTTGCAAATCCTTTTGGTAAGGAGACTGACTGCTTAGACTAGGGGTGCTCCCCTCATCCTGTTAATGTGTCCCCCAAACGACCGAGTGGTCAAACCCCTCCTCCGCCGCCTTCATCGCCAGGGAACACGTGCTAGGCACCAGGCCTCCGCTCTCCGTTCTCCTCCGGCGAACGGGCCTCCTGGCCCAGCCGGTGGGGGCTGGCGCCCTCTGGTGGGGGCCAAGGGGCTTTGGTCCTCCCCTGAGAAGGGGGGTCGAGGGACAGGCAGGCTTTCAAGGCCAGAGCGAGGCTGGCGGCCACAGCTCATTGATGCTAGGCCGGGGCGGTGGAGCGGCCGGGCCCTCTGCCTGCAGGGCCGGAGCTACTAGAAGCAGCAGAGACCACGTGGGTTAGGGAGAGGGGCTGGCACACCTGTGGTCCCTCGAAGGTCCCGCGGACAGAGGCTGTGGCAGGACCTGACCTCAGGCGTGTGCACTGCAGGTGGGAGGGACTGTCAGGCAGGCCTGGGGGGAGGTGTCAGGCTGCACTGTCGCCGGGTCCGAGCTGGGGCCTGGGGGGAGGGAGGTCCCTCCGTTACTCTCAGGCAGCGGACTGCGTTGCCCAGGAGGGTCTCCCCCCTGATCTGTGGTCTCTGGATCGCAGACTCACACCTCGTACTCTGTGGGGTGGGGTGGGGTGGGGTGACCACGGGGGCCGCCTGAGTTGAGGAGGGTCAGGTGGACCTCGTGGTCCTTGAACAGGGTTCCTCCCAGGGTGGGGGAGTTCATGCTCATTTCATCCCTGCCCGCCCAGCACGCTCCCTGTGGCTGTCCCATGAGTCTGCCTGTGGCGTCTGCTTGCTCCTCCTGCCCTGCATGTGGTCAGCTCCTGCGCCCCGTGTGGGGCCCCTGGGTGCCCACCCCTCTCGCACCTGCTTCTGTTCCGGGCATGGCGATGCTTGGGTTGCAGAGGCTGGCACGTCTGGCTTTGCCTTTTCATCTACAGCAAGATAGTTCTGGTGGGGACTGAACTGATGGGCGTGAGGCAGCTCCGGCCCCAGCTGAGCCCAGAAAACTGCCCCAGGAGCCTCGGTATGAACAATACATGCACGTGATTGTCAGTCCGCTGGAACCACGGCCAGGGAAAAGATGCTCTCGTCTTTGCTCACCGAATTCCTACGACCAAACTCTGCCCGTCTCTAATTCCTCCCCTGGCACTCAGGGTCCCAGTCAAGTTGCAGGCTAGTGAACAGTAAATACTGCAACCCCCTGGCTTTAAGGTATCAACTCAGCCAACACACAGTATCGAGAGCCGGACTCGTTCGTGGCCACATGACCTAGCAAGCCCTGGAAGCCTCAGTTTACAAGTTTTCAGGGAATGGCCCTTAGGAAGCAGGACGGAAAGCAAGGACCCAGACCTGCTCCTCCCTTGGGATTCCTCTGCCCCAGGGGCGGGAAGTGGTGAGGTTTCGCACACCCAGAGGCAGCTGCTGCTTAAGAAGACCTGCTTTGTCTCTGTCTGCCCTCCTCCTCCTCCTCCTCCTCCTCCTCCTCCTCCCTGTCCTCTGGGGCCTGGGGCTCACGGCTCACAGGTGTCCTGGCATTGCCGCTGCCTGGCTGGCTCCCACCGCAGCTTCTCTGGGAGGTGCCACATCCCCCCAAGTGTGGCCGGAGGGTGGGTGTGCAGGCTGGTGACTGTGCGCCCCAGCAAGACGTCCCCCTCACCCCAGAGCTAGGGAAGCTGGTGGGCTTGGCTGGCTCCCAATTTGGCAGGAAAAAGACGAAGCACCACCATCCACTCCCCTCCTTGCACACCACCCGCTCTTCCCATCTCTGGGCCAGAGGAAAAGTGGGCCTGGGCTGTAGGCCAGGCTGGCTGATAGCTGAGGACCGGGACCCAGCGCTGCTCCATTCGGAAGGTCCGCAGGACGCCCGGCCGGCGCCGGAATGGACGCGACTCCAGTGGAAGAGTTTGCAGCACAATGGGCGGGGGGAGGGGGCAGAGGAGCCCAGCTGTGGGATATTCTAGTCTCTGCTGCCTGACGTGCCCATGGGTGTGAACTTCTAGAAACTGCAGACTCTGACCTGAAGAGGGCGCCAGAGGACAAAAATCAGATCCCTGCCTTCCCCCAGTGTCTGTTTCCCCGTGTCATTTAGAAAAGGGGGCACACTGTTGGCCTCAGCTGGGGGAGCAGGAGTCCTAAGCTGCCAGTGTCCCCAGAGGGGACAGCACCCAGCCGGTGGGACTAGGAAGCAGTCCAGCATCACAGGACATCCCAGCGTAGCCACAGGCCACGATCGAAATTGCCGGGTGCCCGGCCTGCCTCCCTGCCTAGATGCAGTACCTGGCCTCCCTCCCTCAACCACCAAACGCCTCGCAGACTCGCTAGGGGGCCGGCGGGCCATTGGGCTCCATGCAGGGTCCTGTGCGGGGTCCCGCCGGCTGGGGAACAGACTATCTTGCTGAAGGTGCGGAGCGGTGAACTGCCCTCCATTGTCTGAGAAGCCAGCGTCCAGCGGCCTCTGTAATTCCAAACACCCTTCCTCACCCCACTCCCCTCCTCTCCACCGTATTCACTCGGGCGATGCAATGGGTGACATCAATGATCTTCTCTCCGTTTCTCTTCACAGAACCGAAGAATGAAGCTGCCCTTAGCGCCCTCCTAAAGGCTTTTCCTTTGGCAGCTTAAAAGCTGGAGAGAGAAAATGACCCCAGAGAGCAGCCGTGGCTCCCAGTGCATCTTGCCTGCCCCGCGGGGACCAGACCCTCCGCGGGCCTCCCCGGCTGCGGACCCTGGGCCGCCTTTGCTCGGGGTGTGAGGCCTCCTCCGGGCTTGGGTGGCTTGCTTTGTTACGCTAAAGGGCTTAAGAGTTGTTCTCACTCCCTACACATTGAATTTGCTTTTCGCTCAGCCCTGCCTGCGCCACACACCTGCACCCCTGAGACAGTCGCAAGGCCATCCCTGTACAATCTGTCGTTTTCCTGCAGGCCTCCTGCCTCCTCCCGCACTGAGGCCTCTCGGGTGTGACCGAGGACGAACGGGGCGAGCTGCCATGCTCCCAGCAGGGTCGGGATGGCCCGCTGCCTTCCTCTGCCTTGGGGCCACTTCCCTCTTGCTCTCCGTCTGTCTGGCGCAGTCGCTGGGGGTGACAGACGCTGTATGGATGACCAGGCAGCAAAGCAAAGGCTGGCTATTGGCTTACCGTCCCCCTTGTTCCCTCTGAGGAGGCTTCCATCGGCCCTCTTGTAGCTCGAGGCCTTTTCACTGATGTTCTTACCAGCTCAGCCGCGTCGCCTCCTTTGCTTTGGCTGAAGCAGTAATAAGTATTCGCTTCAAATAGATTTCTCCTCGATTTTGCCTTTTCCTAGAAAGTTTCCGAGACGCGTTAGAGCTTCACCCGGTAACCAGGTTGGTCCCAGGTTGGTTTCCTGGAGTTTTATATGTGACAGTATTTATACCAGGCCAAACTAGTCTACAGTCTTTAGATGTGTAGGTTAAAACATTTTTTTAAAGCAATAAGTTAATAGGAAAACCTTTTCCATTTAATGGAAGGCTGGGAAGTAAATGTCCAGTGTCGGCCCCCGGGCACGTCCCGTTCCCAGGGCCCTTCTGCTCGGGCCTGATGCTTTAGGTTCAGGGCCGAGGGCGGAACAGGCAGCGACCACAGCCAGAGCCACGAAACGACAGATGTCCTCTTGTGGGCACACGGGGCCCACACAGCCATAGCAGTGTCCTCGTCCAGGCTGGGAGCTGCTGATACAATAAGCAGGCGACTCCCTCCAGGTCAGTTACCTCAGTCTGTCTGCAGACTCCGAACGTGGGCACCCGGCCTCACGTCCTGCTGACGGCGCGGATCTGCGTTTCAGCCTCTGTTCAGTCCAATAAACTCGGAGTAGATGATCTTGATTACTGTGTGTTTTTTCAGGTTTGCTTGTTTTAAGAGATAATCTCCTCTGAACCCCTTAAAACTTGAGCTTTCTCTCATGTTGATGCCTGGCACTCACTTTGTTAACAGGATGCAAGTGTCACGGCCCTCGAAACACGGGCGCGTTTGTGTTCACTGGTGGGGGTGCCCACACGTACATCTGATGAGTCCATCCCAGGAGCTCAGTACACACCTTCCAATGCCCAGTGCTGCCCTTTCTTCAGGCGGCGGGCGCAGGGCCCCCGGCAGAGGCTCCCTCTCCTCCACAGGAAACACTGGGAATTATTTCCCGGGTGGCACGGAAGCTGGCACTGGGGACTGCAGTACTCCAGCCTCCCGGTGCCACTCCAGTCAGAACTGCTGGGTGGGGAGACGTGGTCCTTGCAGAAGGGATGTGTTAGGACAAGTGTAAGACAAGCCATCGCACCCCTGCCCAGCAGCACGGGGTGCCGGCCCTGCAGGCGGTGCTGGAGGCTGTGCCCAAGCCGTGCCCGGCCGGACCTGCAGTGACGACAGCAGCCCGGCTGCAGGGAGGTGCTGTGGTCCCACCCTGACACTTGGCTGACATTCTCAAGGGGACCGACGCCAAGCTGGCGGTGTGGTGTGGAGGGAGGAATTACAGAGGCCCGAAGCCAGAGCAGCGAGCCGGTGCCAGCACACAGCACCCGGTCATGCCAACAGCACAGCAAACCAGGCAGAACAAACAACCAAACTGTTCCCTGCCTGCAGTCTCACACCCTTTCATGTCTGCAGCTGCGCTGGGCAGATAGCAGCCTGAGTGTCATAAACAAAGCCCATCTCCAGCCACACCGGAGGGGCAGGGACCCGCAGGCCATAAGGTGTCTATGCAAATCAGAGAGGCGCCCCTTCCTCTGAGCAGTGGAACCCCACCCCCACCCCTCGCCCTTGGCCGTGCACATCTGTACGCTCCCCCACTCCCCAGCCCACAATGTGCTTTCTCCTCGCTTCTGGCTCCTCTACACGAAGGCTGCTTCTAACACATTTCCGCACAGAACCTCCAGCCCTTCATGGGACCCACCTTCTTCCTCCTCGCCTCACTGAGATGTGTGGTCAGCAGCAAAAGGCGCTTCCGGGGAAATCAAGCACCGAGAACCCGAGCCATAACTTGGGGGTCCCCAAATCTCCAGGGTAGCCCCAAGTCTCAGCTCGTGTTTAGAACCCTCTAGCTGAGTCCTCTAGTCTAGACCACACCGCCCTGTGTTCTGAGTGGGCTGGTTGGAGTTGAGTTTTCTGCTGTTCTGGATGCTCGTGCAGCACTCCCTGCCCCCGGAGGGCTCCCCGGCCCCCGAGGCTCACTGCTCTCCCCGCCTGTGTCCTTTCTCCCGGCAGAGTTCAGAAAGAGCAGCTGGCGGCCATCTTCAAGCTCATGGAGGACAACAAGGAGACGTTCGGCGAGATGTCCCATGGCGACGTGCAGGAGCAGCTCCGGCTCTATGACATGTAGGCTGCCACCTCCGCCCGGCGACGCGTCCCCACTGCTGTGCCGTGACGCTGCCTGACCCGACACCAGCCCTTGTGACGTCGACTTTCGTAGGAAGAGGTTCATCATGTACAGATCTGCTCAGTCCTCGCAGCCTCTGTGTTGTTACAGGAATCAGGACTGTGGTGTTCAGGGGAGAAAGGCCCGGCTCCTCTGGCTTCTGCCCATGGGTGAGGCCCCAGCTGTCCCATAGGTAACCCTCCCAGGCCCCAGCTATTCCATAGGTAACCCTCCCAGGCCCCAGCTGTCCCATAGGTAACCCTCCCAGGCCCCAGCTGTCCCATAGGTAACCCTCCCAGGCCCCAGCTGTCCCATAGGTAACCCTCCCACCAGGCCCCAGTTCCATAGGTAACCCTTCAGGTTCCAGAGGTTCCAGCTGTAACTCTCCCAGACTGTCTTCCACTCCCGACTGAACCCTCCACGCAGCCCCAGGGCAGGCATGGCCCCGGGAGGGTTGACCTGAAGGCTCAGCCCCCAGCACACATGTGGAAGGATCCCTGGTGCTGGGGGAAGATGTGTATCAGGGCTGTGGCCTGCATGTCCAGTCTGGTAACACTACACGCTCACTCTGCCTTAGAAGGACTTCTGGAAGCTTCTGTGACTGTAGGGAAGCAAGCAGTGGGGGAGCACTCTTTCAGCAAAGAGGCTAATTCAACCCCACCGTCCATCCTGGAACAAAGCAACCGTCTCAGGGTTAAGCCCCTCTCAGCATTTCCCTCACGTAGCATGAGACTGACTTTACGTATAACTAAGTAAGCACCTTATAAAGCACCTAGCACTATGCCAGACACAACAGACAGAAGACACAAACCCTGGGCACGCGCCTGCCTTCGGGGAGGTGAAAGCGCTTTAGAGAAGACAGGCCCGGCACAGGGGAGGAACCTCCCCAGGCAGCATTCAAGAAAATGCTAAAACATAACGTCAATAAAACCTCAGAACAGTCGGGGGCCCCTCACGAGAGCCACGCGTTTCTGGGGGGCGCAGGCTGTGTCTGATCTCCCCGCCGGCGGAACATTTCAGAGCCAAGTGAGTTAGGAAGAAGCCATGATGTTCTTATATTTTTTTTATTTGCTGGAATAAAACGAAATCAACACACAGAATTAAAAGAGGCCGGGGCATTTTAGGACCTGAAGTCAGCAACGCTGGGGACAGGCACCTCCTCTCATCTCCCGCTCACTAGACCCGTTCTCGGGCCTCCTCCACCTGCTGCTGGAATTCCTTTGGCTTCTTTGCTGACAGTCGGCATGGCGGGCAGGCTGCTCTCTCGTCCGGGGTTATACTCAAATGTCAGTGCTTTTTACTCTTAAAAATTATTTTTATCTTTTTTGCCAAGCTTTTAAAAATTTTATGATTTGAGAATTGTTTGTCCCCTTTCTGGGGTCTCAAGGACCCACTTACGTGGTTTTATCTCGCTATTCCCTGAACGCACACAGCAGGCAGGTCTCGGGGCTGCACTGCGGTGGCACTGCCCCTGGTGGCACTGTACTTCCCTTTCCTCTCCTCCTGCCCCCTGTCCTTCGCTGCCTCACTGGGACACCATCACGTCCATTTGTGGCCAGAAGAGTCCTCTTAAAACAAAACTCATTTCTTTTTTTAAATATATTTTTATTGATTTCAGAGAGGGAGGGAGAGGGAGAGATAGAAACATCAATGATGAGAGAAAACCATTGATCTGCTGCCTCCTGTACGCCTCCTACTGGGGATCGAGCCTGCAACCTAGGCATGTGCGCTGACCAGGAATTGAACCTGTGACCTCCTGGCTCATAGGTCGATGCTCAACCACTGAGCCACATCAGCTTGGCTAAAACCCATTTCACACTGACACCCCTATATCCCCCAGATATCAGTATTGCTACAGGTCAAGAAAATCAAAGTATCTTCCAAATAACGTACCTGCTGATTCGAGCCCATTCTTAGAAGTTTCCTGGCAAAAACTTTAACACAACCATAAGATAGCATCTCACCCTGCAATTTGCAACCACCCGTTTGTTCACAAGTGTGGAGAGGAAGACAAATTCACCCCATTAGGGCCACAAAACAGCAGAAGGTAGGGAGAAAAATCAGAGGGTGGCTTCCACAAGCCAGGCCACGGCAGGCCACCGCCAGGGTGTCACTGCCAGGCGGGGCCCAGGAGCCAGGCGGAAGGGAGCTCTCCAGGCCTGGAGGTTCAGAGACTTCCCGGGCGCAGTGTCCTCCAGCAAGAGCAGCCTCTCCGAGGCGCTGAGGTCCTGCCGCCCCCCTTCACTCCGTCACCGCCCCCTTCACTCCATCACCGCCCCCTTCACTCCGTCACTGCCCCACTCTGGAGCCCTGCTCCGAGGCGCTCACACACACAGCTGTGGCTTGTCACCCATCACACACCTGCCGTGGATTAAAACCATGTCCACAGACAGTCCGTGTCTGTTCACCAAACTCTCTTTGCTGGAGACTTTTCAGGCCTCCTCCTTCCCTCTAAGTCTCTAGTACCTGCCAGCATCGGACAGAATGAAGTGTCTCCTCACTTCCTGCCCTTAAAGTCGCTGCCTTTCCCAGGGGCTGTATTGAAGGAAACGTGCGCTCTGAGCAGCCTGAAGAGCTGCCTAAAGCCCAGGGCAAGCTTGCTGCGAGCTCCACACACAGCTCCCCTCCAGCCGCCCCCCTCCTCTCCCCCTCACCACCCTTTAGATCATTTATACTTGTTTTCAGTGTTTTAAAACCTGAAAATGTAACTAGTTTTTCTAAGAACAGATCACTTGAAAGTTGTTTTGTTCTTCCCAATTTGATGATAAGAAATACACTTGTCCAAAGGACGGCCCTGTACTCACAGTTTGATAAAGTTTACCTTCTGGGCAGCTGTCTAGGCCTGGAAGACGGCAAGTGGACGCACGGCTGGGCCCAGACAGACGGGGCCTCCTGTGCTCCAAGGCCACAGGCAGCCTGTGGCACCAGGCACTGAAGGGCAGGAGCGAGGGGCTCTGCTTCTCCCTGCGCCATCTGGACACACCACCACCCTCACTGCCTGGGATCCAGGGCCAGGCTCCACTTCTCACTGTAGAAGGAGAGGTTACATGAACGCGAGGCAGGGAAAGTCATTTCCTTTCTCCGCTCCTCGCCTCCCTTAACAGCAAGGCCCCAGGACG